TATATATATATATATATAGCCGAGGAGGTCTTTGAAAGCTGCAGCTGTCACGATGTCCTACAGCTGCAGCTGAGGAGATGTGACCATTTGGTATAATTTCAAGTTCTAGTACACATGCTCGTTTTAGAGGTTAGAATGGCTGGACCAGCCATGTACACACTCATACTCAACGCTTTATAGTGAATTAAGGACACGGTTATCTGGATGGGATTAACAAGGTTAGAGTGACTAAAGGAAAGACGATAGGAGGCCGTGTCCAATACAGAATCACCACATCATCTACGACGCCAATGAACATGAAAGACTCTAGACAAGACGCCGAGATTGTAATTCAAGTCAACAAATGGACAAACAGAGGACAATGGTGATTATTTCAGCGCAATCATCACCTCAAATTTCTCCCTGAGTTCGTCATTCCCGTCATCCTCCTCTGAGATGGGAACATTGTAGTACTCCCCTTCCTCCTGGCACAACAACTTATACCTGGAAGAGAGAGACAAGAAGAGAGGGAAGATGGAAGACACATACAGGGAAACGTTGGGAGATTAAAAAAAAAAAAACTCAGTTCAATGTAACTACTCCACTTCCACTGAGGTTGACCTGCTGGGCCTGAATATAGTTTTATGAAAAAGTAAACACAACTGTCAATTAAATAAGTCAAACGTGACGATCTATTCTTCTTGTTGAATAATGAAACTTTTATGAAGCCTTTTTGTGTTCAATAACATATTTCATAGCAGGGAAGTGTGGGTGAGTTTCATAGCTGCGAGGCTTCAAACTGAAAACTACCACACGGTCTAGTTTAAAACTATATGTGAGGGTCAATAGCAATATGGAAGTGAGCGTTACCAGCCACAGACTGGAGCTTTCATGAGCTCTGACACGCCGAAGGAGAGAGCCCCCATGAAGTCATTCCGAGTGGTCCGGTCCCAGTCCCACACCTCCACTGACAGCCTGCGGTCCTTGTCAGACGCCTTCAGCTTGCTATGCGACACAGAGATGGTAGACATGATGGTTATGTGGAATTTTGTGCCACAATTACATTTAAAATCTAATATGTGATATCTTTCTAAAACCCTGCACTTAAGTGTTATATGTTATCATTCGTGGTGAGGGTGAAAGCAGTGGTAATCCTAGTTGTGACAGCACTAGTTAGTGCTCGTAGGATGACTAACTAACAGAGTAAAATGATTCATTTTCAATACTTTTTCAAGTAACAATACTAACAGTGGTGATAGCTTCAACCGTTGAGAACTGACACAGCGAGGTGCAGACCAGAGAAAATTTAAGTTTAAGGATGAAATATTGTATTTGGTAAATCAGAATTCAGAATACGGTTTATTGCCAAGTAGGATTTTCACTTACAAGGAATTTACCTTGATGTTTGGTGCATACAATAAACATATTAAGAAGAAATAAAAAAAAACAGGTAAAGTACTACAAAAGTCAACAACAAAAGTATGGAATAGAAAAATAACAATAATTTACTCACAAGCTAAAGGTCTCGTTCCATCTGGGGTTGAGGTTGGAGCGAATGGTTTTGGTCTTCTGCTTGGTCTCATTTTTGGGGTCTGGTACGAGCTTGAGCTTGACAAACGGATCAGAGAGGCCATTGGGGTCCATGGGGATCAGGTTTTTGCCCTCAGTCACTAATGGGGAGACAAAGAATAGGAAGAGATTATTCATTTGTCTACAGAGACACACTTTAACTACATAGTTTGTAAGTGACTCTGTAGTCTCCCTAAATGCAGCACAGTGTTTCCCATACTCAGCACACCTCAAACACATAACGACCTGCTGGTTACCATACTGATACCTGCCGGTACTGATACCTGCCGGATTAAATGAACCTGGTTTAAACAGCTCAATCAACATGTCTTCATTCAAATTCTGTGCGGTTTCTACAATACAAAGCGCACTGCCCAGGAAAAACGGATGCTTTCTTTTCAGCAACAGGTGAACATCAGTAGAATAAATCGCAGGTGCTCGAGATCAAATGGCGATTCACCGCCTTTGAGGATTGCGTATGGTGCCGAGCCATATAGGGAGCAAACGGAGGACGTGTTATGATAGCAGTGAATCTAAATTGCAGGCTGTGGACATGTTTAAGTAGGCGAAGGCTCCCTTCTTGTCCTCCTGTATTTAGCTGTTCAGTAAACCATGGCACATCAGGGACATTAGCACTACATTAGCCCTGAGCATTGGAGCAGTGCCAAACCTGAGCTACAGTATAGTGCACACACACAAACACACACAAACACACACACACATCTCCGTCCACACTGAGACGCACAGGCATACTGTGTTTATCTCCACACAACGCATCCCCGAAGGGACTGTGCGATTGGCCGCCTTGCATCACTAAACCTCAGAAGCCTCTCCATGTGTCGCCATCAGTCTGTCCACATTGGGTGCCTGAGCAGCGAAGATGCTAAATGACCTTTGACCTGGAGAGGAAGACACTAAGCCAATATGTAAAGACAGCCCGAGAGAACGGCTAAACCCACCGTGTTTGCTGGAATCCTCTGAATGAGATACAGTATTGATGGGATTAAGAGGGATAAATGAACAAAGCCAATGAGGGATTGTCCCCAGTGAGTTAACTCAGCAACTGCTGCAAAGGCCAAAGAGAACGACAACACAGTAGGATTATTTTCCTCATAGGATGAAGTTATACAGTACAGTGTACTATTCATATTACAACCCTCCATGACGACGCGGCGTCATTTTTATTCTCCGTGCGGCTGCACCAAAAGGCTATTTAATAAGCCAAGAGTAAATACTTTCCCAATGTTTGCTTTTATTCCCAGACCCTGTGGGTGGGGGATTCGGGTGTTGAGCGATGGTAGCGAGGTGTGAAGTTTGATGTGAGCTGCAGTAGCGTACACACACACACACACACACACACACACACACACACACACACACACACTGAGAGAAAGAAGAGAGACGGACAGACAGCAGCTTACAGGAGCAACTCGAGGTGTGGGAAGGTATTGAGCGAACCCAAGCTGGCAACCCTCTGCCTCCTCAAAACTCCACTAGAAAAGTGTAAAGCCCGTCTGCAGGCACCAATGAACAACTCACTGTACACTGATGCACTCTTCAACAGAGAAGGGAGGACTGAAATACATGAGTTGTATTCTTTCTTTTTTTTGGGGGGCTGATTTGTCAGATGCTCAGATAAGAATTGAGCCCTGACGCCTCTTCTTCATTCCCATCGCTTTCCATTTTGCCAAAAGAGGTGAAATGAATTTAATATGTCAGCTCAATAAGGCTTTTGACATGTTATCTCCTTGATGGAATAGCTAATAGTCTGTGCATTCACTTCAGTATAGTGCTGTAAAAGCAACAACCTTGGGATAGATGTTGAAGCGGTTTAAAGTGCCTTTAAGTACCTTTTTTACCCGCTCTACAAATAAAATGTATTAACATTATCATCCTTGTAATTATTAATATTATTATATACAGCTGGCTGCTGATTAATACTAGGTTGTGTATCAGAAGAATAACTCCATAATTCATGAAGCACCTTTCACCTTTCTGCCTTTAGATGTCCTGGAATAATCTACACCTGCAGTCCACATTGTTTTCAACCAGACAGTGTTCAACCTGGGTGATATTAATCTACATAGACAATCTACACATAAGTTGTTGTAAAATATGTTACATTAAGGTGCAGATCCATGTATCATGCCATTCATGTTTCTTCAGCTTCAAATCCTTCAGCTTTGGTCGTAAAAGGTCATGTTTTGAATATTTCCTACATGGCCGTCTCTATGCAAAGTCACAGCACCCAAATTACATTTATAAAAAAGCCTACAAACAGACCGACAATGTGACATTGTTCAGTGGCTTGTGCTTGTGTATGAGACTGTGGAATACAATCGGTTATCACGCTGTAATTTGTCTCAATAATACATCTGTATTATTCAAGTTAAATAATTCTGTCCAGGAAGAGTAGACTCTCTTCATCTTCAGTAATTATAATGATACAAATTACACAGTATTAACTTGATAATATCTTTAAAAGGTTTTTACGATAATGCATTTAGTGAGTGCAGACAGGAGATGGCTACAGCCAACTGTACTTCCAGTCCTGACCAGAAGGGGGCATCCTAGACTGTCTGATGTAGCTTGGCTGGCACTGAGCTTTTCCTCCCATATAACTGTGTGGCCCATAAACCAAACAAGATGTGTGTGTAGTCCTAATCCCTTGCAGATGTACTGCAGAGACATACACTGAACTCAATACCCATGGTATCTGTGGTGCTGACAATTTGTAGTCAAGTATTCCATTCATCTGAGTTTAGAAACACATGCATTATGCAAAAACACACACACAGACTATAGGACAAAAGAAGCAGGGTGAGTGTGTGTGTGTGGGGGGGGGCTGTGACATGGTTGCCTGGATACGAAGTCTCCACAACTATCTTGGCACGCATCTAACAGCAGCGCAAGTTCAAAAGATTCTACAAAAAAACAACTTAAACTCTGCTCTATGCAACGGGGGATGGTGGGTGGGGGGGGGGGGGGGTTGGAGTCAAGCCGAACCTTCACCAAACATCACGTTATTTTACGACTGCTTATTATTTGGTTATCAGCTTTGTGTAATCAAATTTGACACACAGCCAAGCTTTGCTGAGCTTTCTGAACTCATTATATGATTTCACTGACTGACTAACACAGAACTGTGCGCCCAGTGAGGTTTGTACTGCATCCACAGTCCTGCAGACTGTACGGAGTCGTACCCCTTTTTGTTGAGTAACCAAACGGTCACACGTGAGATAAGAGCGTCTACGTCTCGAATGCACGTTGCTCATATCTGAAGAGATTTAATTGTTGATTTCCACGGTCACACCGTTGCAAAGGTTGCACTGTTGCACTCCGTCTCTTATGGTGACGCAGACTGAAATCTAGTGGGAATTTCTTTCTTTTGAAAAAGGCCAATAGACAGTCAATTATTCGTTTTGCAAAATGAAAATGAATGATCAATGAAAGAGAAACACAAAGAAGGAAGAAAGGCCAAACAAGACGGGGAAAGTATAAGTGAAGCGATGAAAGGCAGAGGCATATATTTGAAGAGAGCGAGCAACATGCTGAGAAGAGGTGAGCCGTGGCAGGGCAGAGACGACAGACCGGGAATACCAATGACATGAATTCTAGGAGTCTGGCAGCAGAAATCCCACGGCAACAAAGTTCAGTTGTTCTTTGAGCTCCACAGAGACACCGAAAGGAAGGAGAGAGTCTGCATGTGTGAGTCTTACTTTGATGGAGGCAAACCTGCATACCAAGATGGGGAGGATGAAACTGTTTGTCATTACCAATGATAAGATCACACAGGTTCTCTTAAACTCTTTTGCTGTCAGAGGGGGTTGATGTTTTTACGGCCCTAGTTGTTTTTTTTCTCCACATTTCAACATCTATGTATCACTGCATGCAACATATGTAACAGAAAGATGTGCAACCAAGTGTACAAATAGTAACTGGGTTACAAATAGTGATACTTTGAGTTTATTATGTTGAGGACAAAGGTTTCTTTTCTCTCTCTTTTTGTGTGTACAATCCAATCCAGCCTGATTGTTAAGAACTCAATCTTCAATGGTTTACTCTCTTCTTTATCCGTGTTCCCACACTGAACAAGAGGTTATAGGTGTGTCTGTGTGAGAACATCCCAGTGTATATATTCTGAGGGCACAGTGATACGATGACCGAGCCCCTAAATTGCACTCATTCCTACTTTTCTTCCAGGCGTTCGTATAATTTGTGAAAACTCACAGCCAAACACACTATGCCTTGTCTTCAGCTCACACCAGATGACCCTACCTCACATAAAAACGAGGTGAGCTATGTTTGTTCTTCACCTCCCTGTGTAAACGCAGTCTATAAAACTCTGTGCTCCTTTGACAGCACACTGCTGAAAACGGCCTGTGGAGCAGCAGGACTGTTTTTTAAATGTAGTATTACATCAGCGTAAAGGTAGCAGAATACCTCCAGTATGAGCGATGGGATGATCTCAGCTAAATTGATTTATTTCTTTAAATTGGAAACACAATGTGGAGCATATATATATATCAAACATATCACATTACATTATTTAAAATGACAAGTTATTATAATTGCAGTACTGTTGTGACTACAAGCACACAGTTAGATAGCCAGGAAGCTCACTACAGAACATTAAGACATGACACACAGCTGCCCCAATGGCCAGCTCCCTGCAGTGGAAAAAGTGATGGCGTCGGTACCGACACAAGTGCTGTCAGCCGTTCCGTCTTAACTCTTGATTCATGGGGAAAATGATTTTAACTAGATTTTCTCTTGGCAAGAACCTGTTGGCTTTTCTGCATAATGACTCAGAAGCGACAAAGAAACGGAAATAACTGCAAGAAAAGGCTGAAGAGTGGAAGCAGTGGCAATAAAACCAGCGGCATTCAGAGAATCGGGGGGCGATTATCGATTTGGCAACCCTCAGGCTGGATCCAAACCCAGACAGAACCTTGATCAAACCGCAAATCTCCCTCAGGATTCAGGGAGCCAACAGTAAAAGACAGGATGCATGCAGCACATAAAGAAATTCATTGTTCAAGAATTTGAAGAACTTCAGAATTAATTAACGTGGGCAAACATTGACATTTCACTAATTTAC